GACGAAAACCCAACCCCGATGGCAAACACCGGGGGGGGCGGCTTGTTTTACAACGTCGTTGCCAAGCGACGAAAACCCAACCCCGATGGCAAACACCGGGGGGGGCGGCTTGTTTTACAACGTCGTTGCCAAACGACGAAAACCCAACCCCGATGGCAAACACCGAGGGGGGCGACTAGAACCCAACCCCGATGGCACACATCGGAGGGTCTGGGGCGAGGGGGGCGCCGCGAAAACAGCCACTCTCCCCCCTACATAAATATTCGCACTGTTCCGCTAGGAAGGGGGTTGAGAGCACGGACGGAGCAGCAGTGGGACGTTTCTTATTGGGCACGCTCTCCCTGCTACCTCTTGTTTCTGTTGTCTTGGGGGTATCGCACCATCATGTTTCTCGTAGGCACGTTTCTTATGTTGTGGCCGAGATTGAGCTGTGTTTCTTAGCCCTATAAAATATTTTTCGAAAAACGTTGAGCATTTCTCAACAGATTTTTTTTTTAACTGCGGGCCCGTGCTGTTTGTTGGTGCTTGCTGCTTTTCTAACCTGAGGGGACATTTTTTTACTGGAGGGTTTCTGCCTACCCATCATTAGTAGTGTAGTACATCCCAGACAAGGAGCAAGTCTTGGGCATTCAGCGATCAGGGGGGACTAATCGGGTTTGAACGTGCATAGTTTGAACGTGCATAGTAGTAGGCGACGACGCCCCCAAAGAGCAACAAAAGAAAAATACGTCTATGCAGGCCAAACCAACGTACTGCACTGGGACACACAGCCAATCACGGCGCCTGGAAGAACAATGATTGAGAAGTGACAAAGTTGGCGGTGCAAATTCGCCCGCCCGCATGGATCGCCAATTCGCAAAGGTTGAAGGCGGCTACGCGTACAAGCAGAGAGGGAGGGGAGAGAGAGGAGCGAGAAAGAGACAGGGGGAAAGAGAGAGAGGCATACGATTGGACTCAAGGGAAGCTGGGGTTTGCCCAGTGAGACGGAAGCGTACGCACGGCAAGTATTGCAAGGAAGAAAATATCGATTTCATGCTGAAGCCTCTCCCGTGAGGAGAATGGGCGATCCGCTCTGGACTCCAAAGAATGCTAGTACTTAGAGTCTGAAGGTCTGAGCGAGAAAAGATGGATAAGGTGGACCTCGACTTGCAGCAGGAATACCCTTACGTTCCCTGGCAGAGGTGTCTCCATCGGCCAAGGTGAGGCAGAAAAGGTTTGTCAAAGGGCTGGGCGTAGGTCAAGACGGGGTTTCGCGGTGGAATGTTGCGATGTCCGAAGGGCCGCACCCCCCGTGCAACTCGTCGCGGTTGCAGAAGCAAGTCGGGGACGAGCTTCACAGAACACAGTGTAGTCGTGACGGACGAGGATATCAAGGTGATCAGGTTGACTTTGTCTGACATCAAGCAAGATTGAAGCCGTTCGCAGCACGCTAGGTCCAGAGCGGAAAGCGAAAAGACGAGAAGCGTTGTGACTCTTCAACGAAGGAGCGTTGGGGCTCTTTAACCCTAACGACCAATTCGCTGCATCAGTGTGCGGGCCTCGAAGGGATGAAGCATCTCGGGGAGGAGAACGCTGTCGGCAAAGTTTTGGCAGAAGCATTTCTGGGGACACCACCAAGCGATAAACAACTGAACGTCGCGTAGCTTCGGGTCACGTTAGTGGGGGAGCCCGGGCCTGTTTCGGCGGACAACGTGAACAATGAACGCGTTTTATCGAGATTAGTAGCGGTGGTCGCAAGATTGGATGGCTTCGGACCCATTGAAGGGAGTTTTGGCGCACTCATCGCCACCCACGTGCGTCGGCGTCGTTTGGCCACACACGACTGTGGCCACCGACGAAGTCTGTTGTGTTCACCAGCACGCGTGCTTATCGCTTCGGCGACGGCGGGCCTGGTTCGTGCGATGAAAGGAGGGGCCGAGGGAACAAAGCAACAGATGGCGGCGTTTCGGGCATCGGCGGGGCGGGGGCGACGAAAGTGCACCTTTCAGCGAGTTCATGAGCTTCAACACGGACGACTGCGCTAAATCGAGTGGGATACCGTCCCATTTTGTTGGTATGTCGTGGATGTTTCTAGGTGATCTGCTTGTTCGTACGTCCTTTGTGCGGAGGAATTTTCCCAGGTCGTGATCGTTGATGGCCTGGACAATTGGGCACTGTCACCGCCATACAAACAACATAAGGAAAGGAAGAAGGAACGAATGTGCATATTGCCGGAGGCGAGCGGAATCGCACGAAGTCAACCACGTAGATATAACGAGGTCCGATACCACCACCGGGGGAGCCTGTTGCGCCTATCTCGTGCGGGTACACGAAGGACATTTTTTTCGGGAAATTGGCGTAGACGCTCGATATGGTAGAGTATACTGGAGGCTGGGCGTGTCACGATCGCGACGAAGAACCGTTGCTCGCGGCGCCACCAGACCTTACAACGGACAAACCCGCCCTGGTAATGTCGCAGAAAAGGATGAACAGACTGCTCTGGTCAGGGAAGGGACTCCCGAGACGGTGGAACCGTATGTACGCATTCGGGGAACTTTCGGGATGTGCGCTCAGCTTCATGGGCGAAATTTTGAAGGGCATGTGGGGGGGGGGGGGGG